AGTTCATTCTTGAATCTCATTAAATAAATAAATCATAATCTCACACCACTTCCAGTTCGAAACCACGTCCGTGATTACCAAAAGCGACAGTTTCCATAAGTCTACTCGTGAAGCCGTTACCATTGGAGGATGTCATCATGGATGATGGGACATCACAGAATTTTTGGTGCAATTTATTTTCAATCTTCGTGTGATAATTATTCCAATCGGTTTCATTTTTCGTTGGCAACGCTTTGCTTCCGGTGGTCGACACGAAAGATTTGTCATCCCATGATAAAGCGTCCTCATCACGTTCGTCAACTGGCGACGAATACAATGGTGCGCGCGCGGAGTATCCGGTGACAGAATTCGGAGTGAGTGGAAATTGGGAGGCGGCGGCGAACTGTGTGCATATTGGTGTCAGATGAGAATAGTAATTAGGAGTCGGAGGAGCACTGTGGTGATGATGACTGTCGGAAGACCTCCCCGAGTTTGTCGCGTGGTAATTGGTTCCAAGGTTCAAGTGGTGGGAATCAAAGAAGTAACATTCTTCGTCAATATTTCTTGGCGGAGTACTAGCCGGTGTCAAAGGGTAACCTCCGTGTAATCCGTCAGAAGCTTTACCACTGTTCAGGTTGCCGTACATGCTAGATGACAAATGCTCGTTTACTTTCGGTAAGAAAGTATGATTCAACGAGAGAACCGGAGATTTTGCGAATAAGGAGAACGTGGACCGTTGTTCCGGAGCGGAAACTGATGTAGGAGAGTTGGTCCCGAGACCGTTAATGTTCGTCTTTCTAAGGGGCGTACCAATTGGTTCCTGATGGTTGTGTTGAAATCTTGGAGGCGTGGGCGTCTGTTGAGGGCCAGAAGGGACCAGTGAGCTCCTTGGGAGTTGCTTTTTTGACGTAGGTGTGGTTGACCTTGGTCTTGGAGGGGAAGGGGTGTACTTAAACTTTGACTCCATTAAACTCGAATCATTGCTGTGATAGCGCAATTGATTGATAGCATTATCTAGCTTTTGCTTTTGGAAGGACAGGAGCTTTTGTTCTTCCTCCAGAAGTAGTTGTTTTTCCAATAATTCATCATCATCCAGTAATGCATGCGATGGTACAAAATAAGAGGTATTCGAGCGCGTGGAATAGCTTGACGAGGGAGTCAGAGAGGAGAACGGTCCACCGGGGGTTGAGGGTAACGTCGATGAACTATCCCAATCTAATTCTGAGAAAAGTTGGTTGACGATATATAAGAAAGGCACTTGAGCTTTAATCATTGTTAACCATGAAAAAAACCTGCATCATATCTACCATTATTATTAAAGTCCCTTGAAGACTTTGGTCTTAATCCGTCATCGTCGATTTCGCCGGAAGCGACCTTCTCCGAGTTAAGCTCGCTTAACTGCTGATGTAATTTTAACGAAAGATATTCGTCTTGTTCGTACAGACCAAAACCCAAAGGGGTATTAGGTAAGGGGCTTAGGGTGCCTCGACCGGAATAATAAGGAAGGGCATTGGAGTTTGCGTAAGATCCATTAAATGATAAGCCAGATATTGATGAGGCGCTACGTTTATGGTGCAAGGAGTGATGACGATTTGCATAGGATACTGGGTGAGAGTAAGAGTTGGATCTTTGATGTGCGTGGAAAGACAAAGTTGAGTCGCCTGCGTTTTTATTAATAATCGCATCAAGCAGGACATCATTAGTATCATATCGTGTTTCACAATAATCGTGCGCTTCTGGACCCGTGGATAAAGGGAACGTACCGCCAGTTCTTCTCAATGGAAAATGGTTCGTCGTGGTAGCCTGACCAATCGAACCATTATACCGGTTGTTGAAATTGTTTAATTTGGCATTTTCCAATAACCTTGAGGCATTTGAAATCTCTATTATAATTATTTCGTGAAAATAATTTTTTTAATGACGAGGGAAACGAGGATCGTCACATAAGATAAGAGCATCCGAGAAAGAAATAAATTACCATCGAATTGTGATTTGAAGGCGCGAGGGTCGATTTCTTCCGAGTCGGCTATTTCCCGAGGATAATTTAAAGGGAATTGAGGACATTGAATTAGGAATCTGTGTTGTTTACATTGTGAAGACAACACTGACCAAGGAAAGTAGGAAAGACCTTATTACCTTTGGTAATTTTATTCAAGTTAGCGCCATTATCCGAACCTCCGTTGTTCTTTGTGGCCGGATTAACCATCATCGTATTCTCGTTCGCGTCCACGGTGCCGACAAGAACATCATCATTGCTACTCACCACATCGTCCTTTTTAGAACCCGAAGAACTGGCAGCGGAACCCTCAATCATGGTGGCGTTAATGAAATTGTCGTGACTAACTAAAACTGCGCTGCGAGAGTTAATAATACCAGTCATTTACTTGATCGATTGACTTTTGACTTTTTTTTTTTTTTTTTTAACGTTTAATTCAATCTCCCCGTGGGTCAGAGAAGTGAGAAAGGCTTTAGGAAAGGGAAAATTGGGAAAAGGGATGTCTAGCGTGTGTATGTGTGTGAATAGGAAGAAAAGAAAAAAAAATTTTTTTTTTTTTTTCTTGGGACTCGGAAAATTTCCTTCGTGAAAAAATATATATATATATATCTGACGGTCGATTATGGTGTTAATTTAGATTGGTGAATATTTTGTATGTGAAAGAAATGTACGCTCTCTCTTCCTCTCTTTCGATATACCCTACGAAAAAAAGAAAAAGAGAAAGGTAACCACACTAAAAGTGCAGTTAATGTTACCCTTTGTTGAAGAAACGTTAAAAAAAATTCTTCGCAGCGAAGGCTTTAGTTAGCTCTGGTTTTCTCAAAAAACACAATGATTGAAGGAAGGAAAAAAAAAAAAGAGGTTGAGCAAAAAAGAAATAGATTTCAGTTGATTTTAAAACAAGTCCAGCTATGTGTTAGTGGGGAGAATTGATTGGATGATTTATCTTGGGCTAGTCAGATCCAGCGGATAAATGGCGTCAACTCTCTCTAAAATCTGTATTTCATTCTATCCTCATCGAACTTTAAAGAGCGCATATCCTTCTCTTTTGATTAAAGTGGAAGAAAGTGATTATTGCTTTTTTAAATTTTGACTTTTTGAAGTGATCATTTCGCGAGATAATTAGTAAGACATTTTATTAAAAATATACATATTCGGTCATTACGGAAATTAGATCTAAAAATGGAATAATTTGAGAAATATGCAAGTACGTAATATATAACCCTTCCGGTTTGGTCAAGGTGATGGGAGACAATATATAGAGTATTTTGGGAATATGTGTAATGCATTACTCGCTTCGGAGAATTCATATGTCATCGGACTTTTTTTAAATGTGTGGTTATTTTAAAGGGTTTCAGATATGTATCACAAAAACAATTCATACATGTGTGAACACTTCCCACACTTTCCACATGGCGCAGAATTTCTCCACGCTTAACCTTTATGTTCAAATTGGTTTTGCGTTCATGGAATTCTCGCACATCGTCTGTATGAAACTCGGATTTCTTTGAAATTCGCTGAAGTATGACGCGTTTGATGGTCGTGAAGTTGATCTCCGGCGCAATTGTAATATTCATTTGGACTTCTGGGGTCGCTCGACAAAGTTCATCTCGCCGATTGACCTTGTAAATTTCATTATTCAGAAAGGATCATTGAATGCCATTGTCAAAATTTTACGACATCCATTTAAGTCATCATATGAAAGGACAAGCCGATGGTCAAATTGGATTTACACATTAGCAGTCGGAATGTGTATCCCAATAAGATTCGTACTGTTATGTTTTTAATTTCTCCCAAATCAGCTATTGAAATCCGTCGGCTTTCAGGTGATCTAGAATGGACTCTGTCAATAACCATCTATATACAAGAGGTGACGAATACTGTATATGAGCGCGGACGCGGATCCAAAACGCGTATTCTCACACATGCAACGAAGACTGTAATAAGGTGACATTTTACGTCATTCGCGGTTAGTTTCCTGTGTTCATGCAACATTTCGCGTGAAAACAATCTTACGAGAAATGGACGTATGTTTCCTCGAAGGAGTTCTTTTAAAACCTTGGATGAGGTTGTTTCTTGTGAAAAGGCATGATAAGAACTTAAATCGGGAATTGCAGTGCGCGCGTGTGTACTTTTGAAACATGTAACAGTAACATCGAAACCGCTCAAGGGTCCTCCCTCATTAACGTGGAAGTTTCAGTGTTTTTGACAAAGCCAACGTCCCTGGATGCTGATTATTTCACTCCGTAATTAAATTGCACTTGATAATGGCATGGTGATTACCAATTCCGATTTCATTTGAATAAATTTGAATAAAATGAGTAATGTTTAATTGACCAATGATGTTCACTCATCGATCTACGTTGCTATAAATAAACAATAAGGCATTCCGTTTCAGGAAGGCGGGTCGCTTATGTTAAGGTGGGTTGATTTGTCTTGCTGCGAAGATCTCGGAAGCGGAAATCTCAAAACCTTATATTTCCGTTATCTTTATTTCGTCAACAACTTTAATTATTATAATGAATTCACATGTTAATTTAATTTCTAGGTTGCTAATGGATCGTTGGAATTCAAAGTTAATAAGCGCAGAATGCAAAAACCTGGTGTACACACGGCACAGAGACGAGTATTATGACCAAAGGCCGTGAATCGATTGTAATCTTATCAAATGCCATCTTATGTTCAGAGTCATGAATTAGTAATCTACTGTACATACATTATTATATAATTAATATACATAAAATACAGTATGTTACCTTTTCTTTTTTGTTTTTCTGTTGATTCTAAATAATTATATTGGATACTGCCTATTATTACTATTTTAAAATCAACAACTATGTGGAGAAAGTTTTGTTAATAATAATATTATCATCTTTAACAATTGATCTTTGATAAATAAAAGTATTAAGTAAATATTATCTAAGATATTTTTGAAAATTGGTTTTCTTTTTTTATGATGGAATTAATTTATTTTACATAATATAAAATCTTTTTTTTTTTTAAACTTGCAATCATATCATTATGGCATGTCTTTATTGAAATATAAAATAAATATTTACAATATTCACACGATAGCTAATTTGTTATTATATATTATTGGTTGAAGGACTATACTACTTAAAAATATGAAAAGTTTATTAAGCTAGTTTGAACTAAACAAAACAAAATCCAAATTAAGCACTCTAAGTCTAATCTAAAAATAATATTTTACTTTCCTGATAGATTGATATTCAATCTCTATTTATCAGAATCATTGTCAATAATTTATCATTATAAATTATTTTGAAAAATAATAAATTACTAAATTAAATTAAATAAAAAAAAAAATAAAAATAAAGAATTTAAAATTTCTTCAAAAATTTTTAATCAATTTGATAATTTTTTCCTAAAATAAACTTATTTAATTGAAATATTCTTTGATTTTTTAACTATTCAAAAAACTTAATTATGTCTAAGTAATAAAATTCTTTCAAGAATATTTAAAAACTTATTTCTCAATCAATATATAGATTTGTTATTGAATTTTTTATATTAATTTTATATTGAAAAGGTTTATCTGATCAAAATAAGAAGTCTTTTTAAAATTCTGTTAAATCAAAATTTTTTTTTCAAAAAAATTTTATTGAATAATAAAAGTTTTTATACTATATAATTTTTTACTTATCTTTTAATATTATAATTATTTTTCTTAAAAACTGACTTAATTAAAAGAAAAAAAATTTTTAATTATTAATAATATTATTAAAACATATAAGTAGAACTATAAAATTTTTTTATATTTTAAAAATCAATGCATTTTATAATAATTAATTATTTTTATTAATAAATGAACTAAAAACAGAGATTATAAAAAAGCAAAATCAATTAATAAAAAGATCAAATAAAAATTTTTATAATAAAAAATCTTTAGAAATATTTATTTCAAAAATAAAAATTATAAAAATATCATTTGACTTTTTTTAATTATTAAAGTTTAAATTTTTAATTAAAAAATTTAAAAAATATATATACTGTATATATATATAGCAACAATTTTTAAAAATATTATTTGAATATGGTTTAAAAAAATAATAAAACTTTGTTATTTATAAAATTAATATATACAATAAAATAAAAAAATATATTTATTATATAATTAAATTAATTATATATGTATATTTTTACAAATATCAAAAAATTCTTTTCAATAATCCTCTAATCATGTACAAAAAAGATATTTGTAAAAAGTTTTTTATAATTTCTTGCTAATAAAATCTTATCACTCTTCTTAAATCAACCTAAAAAGTACTTTAAAAATCATCACTATCTCCTCTTTTCTTGTTTACATTTTCAATAAAAAAATAAAAAAATAAATTATCAATCAATTTTTATTATATAATTTGATATAAATAAATTATTATTCAATTTCTACTATATAATTTGACATTATTTGTTATATAATTTATATTATTTTTACTATATATTTTATTAAAAATTTTCTAAAAAAATTATTAAACATTTACTGAATTTTTAATTATATATTATATCTACAATTTAAAGAAATTATAGCAAATATTCATGAAAGTCTTGCTAATTTGAGGTTTTATATCTAAATATAATAAATTAATCCAAAATATTATAAATAAAAATTATATATTTATATTTAACTATATAAAATTTAATACTCCACAATTCAACATTTGTGTTATTTTTAAATCTGAAATAAAATCTATTTTCTATTGAATTTACTAGTTTGTAATATTAAATAAAAACCAATCAATATTTAATAATATTATTCGAAAAGTTTATCAAATGTATAAAGAAGAATTGAATTTGTTAAGAATATAAATCAACACTTTTATTATAATTTATATATCAAGTTAATATAAATGAGCCTTTAATATTTTGTGAGGACATAACAAAATCAAATATTTTACTTTCAATTTGATATCTATCATATTAATCTACTCTATTCTAAATAATTATTGAATTTTTATTATCTTTTGTAAATAGTTTACAAAAGTTCATAATTTTATAAGATACTTTATAGTATTTAATTAATAGATCTAATATTTCAGTAGATATTTCTAAATTTAATTTTTTCAGATTCAAGAGTTTATCTAAAAAATATTCAGATCCATTAATAATC